AAACAACAACTGAGGCTGGGAAGAGAAATGGCCTTTGGGGATATTATTTAGAAGAGACTTCAGACTTTGATTTCCCAGGCAGAAGAGATGGCAAATCAACCAATGTGACTCCTTGGTTCTTGAGAAAGAGGCAAACCACATTTTCCTAAAGCTTCCTGTAGCTGAAGCTGTTGAACTGACTCTACTACAGTAAAAAAACAGTAAGACAGGAAAATGGGGAGGTCAGCACAAAACACAACGTTGGAAACCCTATGACTCCATGCTGAACAGCTAAACGTTTCTGAGTTGCTGCCTCAGAAGTGTGAGAATCCCCCTTGGCATCACGTGCCTTTGCTTGGTCCCATGGGAAGAAGGCTCTATTCAGCCCTGTGAGGAAAACAGATCACACTGGGTGCAAAAGTCATTATGCATATAGCAATAGCATGTCCTATGTATTGACACAAGCACTGTACATAAAGAAAAAAAAGGAAGTTTGCCCCGATAATACAATACAACACAGGGAGACTGGCACAAAGTAAACAAGCCACACTGCTATTCTTTATGCCATGAGTTAAAACCTGAGCTAGGTGAGCCGTGTGCCCCAGCCAGGATCAGCGCAGCAGTAGAGCACATGCAGGATGAAGCAGGGGCAGGGACCTCACTAGCCCAAGCCCATTATCAACAGCTGGCTGGTGGGGTTGGAAGGAGCAACAGCAGTAGCTGGAGCTGTGGGAGCAATGTGAAATAAGAATTAAGTCTGAGACTGATGGGCAGCAGAAGCAGGGCCAGGCAGAGACTGGGAAGGAAAAGCGGAGCTAAGGGAGGAGGAAGTCTGCTTTGACAAGCTAAACCTGAGACCTCATTTCAGGATGCTGTCTGCTGCCACCTGCACAGGTTCTCCTGCAGAAATAACTCATGTTTTTAACTTGCGTAGCTGAAGAGTTACTCTCTTTTTCAGTGTGAATTCGCTTTGTTTCTGCAAGATAATTGCCCTTCCCTCTCCCCACAGCTCTCTCTCTCAAAATTAGAAGACTTGAACATAAAGAAATAAACTACTCCTTGGAAACAGAAATTCATTGTTGCATTTCTTTCTCAGTACAGTACACATAGTAGGGAAAAGAGACCTTTGAATTCCAGTTGTTTGGAAATTTGTGGAAACACAGGAGCACCCATTTTCTCCTCACCCGTCTGCTCCTCAGCTAACCTGTGGAGATCGTTGCCGTGACACGTCGTCAAAAGCAAGTATTTGCCAGGATTTGGAATTTAACTGAATATGCAAATGAACACGCGTGCACACACACACGCGCCAATATATATTTGCATAAATATTTATATATAAACAGTAACTATTTTTAAAAAGCACAATAGCAACATCAAAGAAATCTCAGCAACCACAGCAACCTTCATTTGCCATAGACGGGCCTTTGCTCGCTGTAGACAGACTGGACTCTGCCTGGTCTGCCAGAAGCTTCTCCAGTGGCCTGTGTCAGCTCAGATCCCAAATCCCAAACAAGCAGCATTGGTGAGGGTGCTAGAAATGCAGTAGATGACAAGAACAACCTAATGGTTAGTAGTGGAGGAGAAGAGGAATAAGTAAACACAGCAAAGTATGCGAGTCACTTTATTAAAAGCATACCCATCAGGCTGCTTCTGCTACTTACAGTGGCCAATAAATTCCCTCTGTCCTAATACACTTGAAGTGCCAGGATGCATTATTCAGCATATGAGTAATTCACCACATTCTTTTGGCTAATAGTCAGTTGTTGAGCCGGACTCTCTTTTGTGAAGGTCAACAGCAACACCACTATCTAGTTGTAGAACATGGCAGAGCCTTGTGGCACCGTACCGACCAGATTAAAACAAGGATTCATGCAAGGATCCCGTGTAATGAAGGCCACAAGTTCCCATGTGGGCATAGAGGCACTTCTGTGGAGGATCAGGCCTTAAACTCACATGGAAAACCACAGGAAGGAACTCAGCACCCACTCAAGAGGAGGACTAGGTGATCACATGGCCACCAGAAAAGCCAGTTGGCCAACTGGAGTTTCCCTCTTCGTGTGGAATGATAATTCGGGTGCTGAAGGATAATTGGAGAGTTGAATTTGAGGGTGGCCTCAGTAGCCTGGGGGACTCTGCGCCAACTGCTTTAAACAAACCAAGCAGAGTTTATGGTGACACTCCTTTTTCTTGCAGGTTTTGATAGCAGCCATGCTGTTGAACTACTGTATAAACACCATGCATCGCGGACGTAGTGCTCGCCAGTGAAGAAAGCTCCTCTACTTCGGTTTTGTAATATATACTGGTGCACGGGTCTGCTGCGCCTGTCTCTGTTTGCATTAGGTTAAACGCAGCTGAAGTAGATGGGCCTAATTATGGCCTTTCATTCAAGATTAATGTGAAGCCATTAAGCTGGTTTATGCAACCAGGTAGCTGAGCAATAGAAACATCTAAAACAAGTATGAGGCAATGTTGGAGGCTGAAACCATGCAATCAGCGGGCTTTCGTTGTGAAGGCATGAGAAACGCAGCAGCAAGTGCCGCCTTCATCTACGGACTTGAGACAAAACGCAGGATAAGATTCACTGTGAAGGACAAAAAGAGATACCAAACCCACTGCTGGTCCAACTCCAAAATGGCAGACTGAGCTAAACGGGAGTCTTGCAGCTCCGAACGCCCCACGACGCCATTGTGATTCACTTCACCCTGCACTCAGCAAAATAAGCTCTAGTAGCTCTCTTTCGCCGTGATGGCACACGAACGATTGCCCAATTCATTGCCAGCTTCCCCTCCAAGCAGAAACGCTCCAAAGAAACTTGGGCCTTTCTCTAACGGCTGGATGAGAACAGGGTAATTCTACAGCAAGCCTTCTGGGAGTTCTGTCTCCCTGTTCTCCAAAACATCGCTCTTACGTTTTCAGTTGTTCAGTTACGTGAGATGCAGGCACTTTCTTGGTAATGAACCAGGTCTTCAGTGATTTGTTTATGCTATCCTAGGTATTTTTTAAAAGGAGTGATTAGCTGACGTGTGGGAGAGGCTAATTAAAAGAGAAAACTCAATTAAGGAAAAATCAAAGTTACGTTGTAAGGAAAGAACAGAGAAATTCGAGAACGGATTTAGGAGACATAGTTCACGAGACAACAACTGAATTTTGAATAAATTGACAGTTGACTTAATTGGATGATTATAATTTGGGAGCAAATTATATTTAAACTGCCTCTTTTATTGGTTGCAAGATAAATTTCTTTTAAAAAGACGAGTGTGCCTGTTTTCTTTAAGCTTGCAGGAAAGGACGAGACAGACGTACCCCCCACCTCCCAGATCCGGCCATACACATCCACTTGAATTTTTCAATTGATCCATACTTCCATCTCCCAAGGGGAAAATACTGAAAAGGAGACACTGCTGTGGGGGGCACTGTGTAGCACGGCTATGGGACCTTCCTGTCTTTCTAGGGCATGAAAGGACCTTTTGGGGGAGAAACTTCTTTTGGGCAAGGCTGTAGGTGAGTGTGTGAATAGATTATACCAATTTTGAAAGTGGGAGAGAATTCGTATACTTCTTCTATGCACCCAACGGGTACCTTTAATTTACAATCACGCTACTGTGGATGGACAATTGCAACCATTTTCAGGCTACTGCACACTTCCTGTAAAGTTCTGATGGCAGAAAAGCACCATCTCTTATTCCTTCACATTTACTGTTTTCATCAGGGCAGGACGCAGAAGTGCCAGGTACTTTCCAAAGAGACCATCCACGCTATGAAGAACAGACGTTCTTGGCTTAATATTGCTGTGGTTTCCAGCTGCCAGTGCAAAAACACAGAACTGTCATTGTCAGGAGCTACAGAGAGCACACACGTACACACACACACATTAGGCACTTTGTTTTATTTTGCAAAAAAAAAAAAAAAAAAGAGTCTTTATATATAAACCATTTCATTCTCTCTCAAAACATTCTACAACTATACAGCTGTTTGCTCCATCATTTGCATAGGAAATACCACAATACAAAAATAAGGTAGGGGGGAGGCAAAAGAAGCAAAACAGCAACTGATTTATGCATGTTTCCACGTATAAACATTTGAAGCCTTACAAAATTATTTACATCGTTTGTCAACTATTTACAGTAAGAGCAACATTTCTAACTATAACAAACAAAACTATAATTTATCAAGTATATGTAAAATTGTCTTAAAAAAAAAAGAGTCTATCATATACCACAAATAAATAAAGACAAACAACAGTTTTAACAAAGCTAGGTTTTCCTGCAAGACCCTTTTTTTGGTATTTTGATTGTCTATTCTAGCCTTTGGTTGACAGCTTAATGTTACGGCTTGTGAAGTCCAGACACTTAATAGGTTTGTTTGGTTTTTCTCCTGTTGTCTGGCCAAATCCTACACGGTCTAACCTCGTCTTTGGCCCTTCATCTACTATTTCAAGGCTGAACACGGTGGATCAAAGTCATTAGCATAAAAGGGCACCACTTCATTGACTTCAGTGGAGTTTCAGCTACTTTTGTCAGCAGTAAATTTTCCCTGGCGTGTGTCAATCTGAACAGTGGATTAACTAAACTGCACTGTAATTTTAAACAAAATTACTGTATCCTTTACCTTCTAGGAAATTGCATGCAATATCCACATGAAACTAGATCATACTGGTGCTGAACCAGCTTAACATGTCTGCATATGAAAATTGCATCCTAAATCCTTCTTTTTAAAGTGATACTAAGTTTAGCTTATAGTAAGAGGTTTAACATTCTGTGTTCACTGTAACTATCCCCGTTATTTAAGCTTCCAACATTGACTTTACAGTTCATTCTACACGTTTTGCCCTTTTAAGCAATTTGAAAACAAAATCCTGCTTTGACTAGTCAGTGCACACCGTTTGAGTTACCAAAACATCTGAATGCTTAGATCATTTCTCTAAAGAAAAATGAAGCTAAGTTGGTACTGTTTTGAGAGGTATTTAAATAACTTTTTTTGTAAATGTGCCATGTTATCAAATGTAAAACAACTGCTTTTTTCAGATGCTTCTTAGAAAACTTTTGTATTAAACCTAAAAAGCTGATTTGCATATTTACAAAATCTTTGTCATAGCAAACATGCAACATACAGAACAAAATGTTTTGTTCTATGGCTGTTTATGAATTTTTCTATATGTACTTTATCTCCACAGCGACTTAACATTTAAAAAAACCCACAAGTACTAAATATGTCCAGTACAAACCTGACAGGTTACGATTCATGGCTTTTCCACTGTGTTCATTCATCTGCAGCCTCTCATTAACTCATTTACTAAACATAGTCACAATAATGACAGTGCTTTGGTCGAAACACCGCAAGAGAAAAAAAAAAAAAGTATAAAGCTGCAATGTGTCAAGACATAATACTTGTAAGGAGATGAAACCTGCTGACTAAAGCCATATACATCATGAGAGCAAACGAACGACCGAACACTCTGGTATCGTGATACAGTGTCTTCCCTTTTTCTGCATAAATATACAAAATGTACATTTCCAGTTTCTTTTGAGATTTCTTTTAAATGGATAACCCATACTCAAAAATCAAACTAATTTTAGTTGTATGTCGAGAGTCAATAGGAAATTGCATAGGTACAAAATAGCCTCAACAACAAGTCCAGCTTTTAGTTCTGATGCCTCTTCATGTGGAGAGCCAGGTGATCGGAGCGGGAGAAGCTGCGATTGCAGACAGCACACTGGAAGGGCTTTGCCCCCGTGTGCTTCCTGTAGTGGCGCGTTAATTCATCCGAGCGAGCGAATCTCCAGTCGCAGCCTTCCCACGTGCACTTGTACGGTTTCTCACCTGAAAGAGAGCACAGAGAAATGAGACTGTCAGCTGTCACTCTGAGAGAAAGTTGATGCAAGATCACATTGAATGACATTGCTCTTCAATTTAAAGAAGAAATAAATGACAAAACAGGTGTTGATGTTTCCTAATTATTCACAGCTCTATTCATTAGGCCCCAAACTAACAGCCGCTTTGTTTTTTCAGCGAATTTTGCTCTTGAGTCTGTGATTTAGTACCTTGGTAAAACGTAAGAAACTTTCAGACATACAAATTGGAGACAGCTACGAAACAGAAATGCACAGAGGCAAAAAAAACTGCGTAAGACTGAAATACGCTGCCTTACACTCACCTCAATGTAAGAGGGAGTAGGAAAAAAAAGCAAGTCTCACATGACAATCCGTCCTAGTTTGTAACTTATGCTTGCAGCTCTTACAAATGGGTAAATTAACTTATACAGAGCTTTTTTTAAGAGGTCTGAAATGGGAAGGAAGATTTCTGTAAAGATTCTTTGTAGTGTGCAGATCTGTTCAAGAGCTTCTGATGTGTGAGGAAAGGGGCACAGCATGTTACAGACAGAACAGGGATAGTATTTTCTAAAACGTCAGGGGCAATAAAAACTTGCGGTATCCTGGTTTGGGCTAGCTATATATAGGAGTAAGCACCTAGAAGATCAAAGCACCTGTTTTCAGAATTACGTCTACAGTCATGTGCTTAAATAGCCATATTTTAGAGGTGGTAAGTGCTTGCTGTCCCCATCAGTCTGTACTAAAGCAGGGGTAGCATGGTGTCTCTGAAAACTTCCCGTGTTACAGCAGCTCTGAATACAACTTCCAAGTATCCAGCTAGTCTTGAACACACCGGCCCAAGCACCTAAAATATTTGTGTTCATCCATTTTTGAACTATAAATGGGGTATTTTAAGCATGCCTATAATTGATAGGTGCTTGTTGAAATGGGAGAAATATGAAGCCACAAAGCCAAGATGACTTCTGTGTGAAACCAGAACTTTACGCGTGTACATACACCCGCTCAGAAGCTGGTATGGACATGATGTCACCATACAAGCAAGCTTCATATAAATAAAATTACCTATTTATAGGCTATTGCTTGATGTTGGTTGACAAAAACACCTTTCAGTTGGGAGAGTGGATTGCTATCTATATCCTTTATATTAATTCGACTCATTTGGCAAGAAGAGAAAGAAAACTGAGTTTATGAAAGCACTCAGAAGTAGCTTCATCTGGAGAGGAACCAGACCAAGGCTGAGCTTTCTGAAAAGTCCTTTCCAACACATCTTACAGATCTTCTCCCTATCCATTGGTCTCAGACCTTTACCCTCACAGTCTCACTCCTACAGCACTGTGGCGCAACTCCTAATTTTCCCTGTTATACCATCACATGAGCACGTGGAAGAAAGAGAGACGCCAGTATCCTGCAATCGGACTGTTTGTTCTGCACCAGTTACGCAAAGAACACCATTCGAGGAGCTCCAAAACATTATTTCAGAGCCACTAATTTACCAGTCAGATGAAATTATGAAACTGGTTTTGTATGGGAGTTTCTGTTGCTGCTTCTGTTCAACTAACTAGTTGATCAGTAACTTCCCATCTACTACTAAAGGCAGAACCAGCCCTTTGCTCGCAATGGGGATGTGACTTCAAGTTGGCAGCACGGTCACAACCAGAACCAGATCTCCACAAGAGAAACTAACCACCCACCCAACCAACCACCTCTGCATAAACAGCAACCGGGATTTATTGAAATCACAGTGGAAACATATAATCCCTTGAGAAAAGCAAACCTAGAGCCTGGCATCACCTCATAGAGTTCAAAATTATTTGGTGGACAGCAAATCAGAACACAAAACGTTACAAATTTATGTCATAGCTGAATTTACTCTGTCTGATACTGATTGAAGACCAGAATGATCTATCACAAAGGACTCTTGTTTTCTCCATGCAACGTATACTGTAGGTTAAAATATAGATTTCATTCAAACCCACTGTGTAAAGCTTTTCTAACGTCAGAGAAGCCAGTTGAGATAACACCTTTGGTCTTCATGGCAGAATGACAGGAAATGTCTCTATCAGTGAGGGACCTTTTGCACTGTATACATCATCCTTAACATATTTCAACAGTCCAAACAAAACTGCTGTCCCCTGTTAAAACTTACTCTAACCTGCAAGCAGTATCAGCAGGCGGTATGAAGGCTCCTGGCACACAAACTGCCAGCAGTCAGGGCAGCAGCGAACCCTGTGCCTTGCTGGGTGCCACAGCTTCCAAGTCAACGCTCAATGCAGTGACCAGACCCCCATCAAACTCCAGGGGACACAGCTTCCCAGAGTCACTGTCTGTCATGGTCACTTCACCGCCTGCCACAGCCACGAATCCTCCTGGGCAACAGCGTTGCTCAGAGGAGAGGCTGGGCAGTGCCATGGAGAACAGCACCACTCCTCCTTGCCGGCTGACTTCTGCAGACCTGAGCTAAACCGAGCTGTGCTCAGGGGATGTGCAGAGGGAACGAGCTGGTGCCTTACACAGATTGTTTTAACAGTGTTACTTTTATGTACTGGGAATTAAAGCCAGAACGCTCCTTTTAACCCCTGCTTTGGCCAACAGTGAGAACTGGAAAATGTATTTTTAGCGCCAATGTAGAGGCCCAGATCATTTTGAATAAATCCTAGGAGTAAAATACTGAATATCTATGTTTGTAATGCTAGTTTCCGTTGGAAAGTTCTATTTAAGAACTGAATCAATTTCAAATGTTTTCCTTTTGGGCAAGGAGGAAGGGGGGCAAGAAAAAGAAGGTGGAGATTATTTTCACTCCTTTAGAGAAAGCAGAAGAACAACTAACTGGTAGTATTTGCTCTCTCTCAACCTATACACATGCTTTTTGTCATTTGGCAGAAATAAGAATTTGGTTTAAGTTCCTGCAGTAAGGGAAAAAGAGCCTCACATTACATATTTTCTGAAGTGATCCTACTTCTTTGCTATGCTGACTTTAAAGTGCTGAGAAATCTGGGGTTGAAGATTTATTTTTAAAAAAAGCAAGTATACACAACAAGGGACACTGAATCCTTTATCCACTGTTTTCATTGGCTACATAGTAATGTAAGATTTGTTTACTTTAATGATTGTGCGAAATACAGTAGCTGTAAAGTTTCAGAAATATTTGGTTTTTCTCCAGCAATTTAGAGCTTCTATAGGGTGTTAAACCAAGAATGCCACTGGTCATCAAATACGAAGGCAGTACAGCTCGGTTACTGGAACACGATCGTGGTATCAAACAGATATTTCACTGTAAAAGCAAGAAAACAGCTAACTCCTCCACTTCAGGGGAGCTTCCACGGGATTTGTTAGAATGTCAACACTGTTCAACTAAAACACCATGGAGGAAGCTGGTACCGATTTCCAGCCAAATAGCACACTCCAACCCTTTCTTCCCAAGCCAGAAATATTATACACAGCACTTCTGGGAAACAGAACTGCTTTCCTTTAAATTATACTTCAACAGGATAGGGATTTCATAAGTTTAATTGGATTTCTGCATAACCTTCTTCCAGTATCACTGATTTAAAATATTTTGCTAGGCTTATACATCACAAAATATATTTTTAAGTTCTTGAGCTGTTAATATGTATCCATTCTCCAGTTTAAAAAAAAATACATTTGTGGAGCATGAGAAACAGGCTTGTACTTGAGCACAGAAATTTTAAGCCCTAATATTTAGTTTGGAAGCTCTTTTACAGAAAGCACCTAGCAAGAGATAAGGGAGTTTAACCCGACAGGAGACTATTTTGCTTGCAATGTGTCTGTCTTTAAAAAAAAAAAAAAATATTTCTAATGCTCCAAGATTGCAAGGATGTCAAAAGATGTCTGGATATCCACATATAACATGCTAACCTAACCAGCCGCTTCAACAGATAAAGGAAGATCCCAAGGCTCAGGATCCTTGTCAACACCACAAGAGAACAGTCTGGACCCAGAGAGGCACACGGTGTTGGCTGCTCTCCCTTTAATTTATCTTCTTGGGATTTAATAGTGTCAAAATGCACTGATCGCTTTCCTAACACTAATTCTAGCCACTGGCTGTGACCATCATGGCCATGTTCATTTGGGTAAGGTACAGTGCCACCAGTGGGGGGGTGACAGTCATTTTGAAGACATCCTCTATCTTCAACACACAGCCTTTGTTCAAGATAATGTTTCTGTTCAAAATTGTTCAGAAAAAATGAGTCACTGAAAATCTATATTAGTGATTAATTTCCCCATTAGTAAGAAAATAAGCTTCCTTATTTCACGAAGGAGTTATGTGACTTTATTTCTGCAATTCACTGCTAGGATGGCTTTCTTTAAATATAAAGCTGCAAACAGCAAGGGCCGGATTTTCAAACCCAAAGTTAGGTAACTCTATTGGTATGCAGAAATCCAAATACAGGTACTCCACCAGCCAACGCCTGCAACTTCTCTTATTTCCTATCAGAAATTTCTGTCAAGAGTGGTGAGTTTGGAGCTTCCTTGAGGATAAAAAAGCAGCACGCTTTTCAAAGACACCAAAAAGACAACACCTGATTACAGTTCGTAAGGGTAAAAAGTATAAAGAAACACCCCCCACCATTCTTTCCATCATTTTAATATTGTGTTTATGATGGAATTATTTCTAGTGGCAAGCGTTTGGCCTTAAAAGACATTCAACTAGGTGTGATAAAAAGGCGGTAGGCAAAGCAGAAGCTTCTGCACCATAATTACACCAGTTATGAACATAACCTATATTATGTCCAGTTTTAAAACAGGTTATTACAAAGATTTACGCTGTCTCAGAGTTTTCTGGTGTTTTCTAATGTTTCACTTCTTAACAGTATTTGTCTTAGTTCCCTGACATGCCATAGCCTCAAATTTATAGAAAAAATAAGAACAAATGAAATGTTTTCCACGACTTTAGTTTGCCTGAAATAGCTTCCCTCTACCACAGTTTTAAACTCTGCTCTTCTCCAGGCTGACTGGAACTGAAAGTAG